GGGGAGCAGCGTGGGGGATAAGGGTCTTGCTCAGGGACCCACAGTGGCAGTCTTTGGGAGTGGGACTTTAACTCAGAACCTCAGGATTCCAAGCTCAATGTCCTAACTATAGTAGGGGTTGTTTGACTAAATTAAAGATAATCTTTTCACACTGAAAGAAACGCTTACAAAAAATAGCTTAATTGGTCAATACATCTGGAATTGCTTTTAAAGATGAGATTTACGACTCTTTGTGAGGAGACAGATCTCATTTCTTTTAAATGAATGTTAATCAGAGTGGCTTATTTTAATCTTTAAAAAGACAGAGACTAGGTTTGCATTTCTTATCCAGCTTTTATGTGTATCAGATACTCCAAAGGCCTGGGTGATTGGGCTTCTAAATGTTTTCTGCTGCACCCCTCCCCTTGTGCTTGTCCTCTGTCTCAGTCAATGGAGAAGCAACAGAGGAGCTTGTATCTGCATCTGTGATATTCTGCAAAAGAACCACATGGCCAGTTTAAGAACCGTATTTTTTATTTGCTTATTGTGGTGCTAAGTGCACTGAACAATATAAACCAATAATAGTTATTTTTATAAATGTTGCAACCATGGAACATATTAAAGACAATGGTTGCTGTAAGTGTTACTGTGGTTTAATGAGATTAAAACCAAAAGTTAATAGATAATTTAAGTGCTCAACTTCCACTATGTGTCCAGCTGCTACTTTATATCTATTTGTTTAATTCCGCCATGATTATTTTCTCCTCCTCCCCAAAGGTTTTCTGCAAATGGACTATCTCCCCACATTGTATGATCTCTGGTCACTGCTGCAGGCAATATCCCAGCTCATCATCATCATCATCATGGCGCCCTGTCACAGCATCTGCTGTTGGAGGAGGAGGAGGGGGGTTGGACTGGTGGTGGTGCAAGTGTTGGTTGTCAATATTGTGAATGGAAACTGCGGGTTGTCTGTATGCGTCTGCTGGAGGTGCAGGAAAAACACCTTTTTTCCCCTCAGACTGCCTGACTGTGCTTTCAACATTGCCTTCTCTGACATCACTTCATAATTAATGAAAACGCACTAAATCATTTAATCAAATGATAAAGCACTTTTTCCTATTTTTGTCATTGTTATTGACTTTTCAACTTTACTAAATTGCTTGATATGTAAATAAATAGTATTCAGAATTAAATACTTCAAAATAAACAGTTTGATTACATATAAATCAAATTAAATTTAATGTTTATAAGAATATAAAAGGTTGTTTCGTTGAACAGATTATGGAGGCCCCAATGTGCCACAAGTATATTAATGTTTAAAAAACTAAAATAATTTGAAAAATAGTTTTATTGATATAACAACAATACTTAGTTTGTTTTACTTACTCGGTGTTTTTATTTTACTATGATTATTACACCATACTGAACTGCACTAAAGTACCAGAATTCAGTTAAAGTTGAAATAACATAACCTAAATAAGAACTTAGAATAGCCAATTAGAATAGTATTTTTTTTTCTTCAAAAATGTATTATATACAAAAATAATTATGTTATGTAATAGTATATTTTTTCAGCAACAAATGTATGTAAAATAATTACAATCAGTTAATCATAGCAATATTAAAAATATGTTTAAAAAAAAAACATGCAGAAATAAGATTAATTCAGGTTTTTGTCTGCTTTCTACTGTCTGAACTGACTCTCATTTTCTGGTATCTGCAATAAAAAAATAAAAAAAAATACAGTCATGCATCCCCACAAAATAATTTAAATGAAAATATGAACAGTATAATAATCAGCCTGATCATTTGGAAAGGCTGTACCAATTAAAAGCTTTAAGAGGCAATTTGACTCAAACTTAAAATACAAACATTACTTGAAATAACAGCAATTAGTCTTCTAATGTGATGTTACACACTATTATTTTACGTAGTCTAGTGGGCGGGGCTAGTGCTACTCTAGAGGAGACTATTGGTGTAAGAGATTCCCTCTAACCAATCAGTTGTTAGGATGTGTTTGGTTTGCTGCTGGGATCATCTGAATGATTTTATAGTGGTAAATGAACTATAAGTGAATTTATAAACACTGAAATAATCTGATATTATTCCAGCATTAAACATTTTCCTATTGAAGCACATCTGCCTGTATTTTAATGTATATAATATGCAAATATTACATTATTATTTTTACTGATGATAGTGAAAAATAGGTTTTACACTAGTGCAAATGTAATTATGCATGCTTCCATCCTGCATTAGGGGAGCAGACTGGTAAATATTGATGCTTACGCTTACATTTGACTGTGACGTGTAGATAAAAAAATTTGTATCTTTCTCTGTGAGCTTTTTTCGTGGTTTATCTAACCAGCTGGTAATCAATCTAGCCAAACCTTTACAACAAATGGTCACGTCATGATCCATATAAGTAGGAGAAACGGTGCTTCTACACGACTTACAACATTCAGGAGGCACAGTCATGTTAGTGTCTTCTATAGGGATTTCCTGTGATGATTTAACACATGTCAGCATTCTATGTTTTTTTTTTTTACATATTTAAAAGTAATCATTTATAAATGTGAGATCCTATGTGAAAATAGCAACAGATAACAACTCTATAACAATCCAGAGGAAGAGATTTGAGCGCAATCAGACTTCTGAACTTGTCTTGAGCAATTTGCATGTCAGAAACAGGTCAATAAGTGGGAAAAACACAATGACACAGCGTTAATATTATATGTTCTTCGTGTTTTGATCCTCAGATCATTTTTTTAATGTACAGATATTAAGATATCCACGAGTTATTCTGTCGTATCACAACAGTATCACATTTGATGTCTAGAAGGGTATAAGATTTATGTAGCAGTAAAATCTGCGGTTTTATTTGCTTTCTTTTGTATTGCAGATGTGCAACTTCTCCATTTCAGCTCATTCCTGTGGGTTCATACATGGTGGTACATGCAGAGCTCCATGGAAAGCTTCCCAATGCTCTGATAAAGCTGAAATACATTCACGGATCCATAAGATGATCATTTTATGTGTCTGTAGGAGGGAAAAAGCTATCAGTACCACAGTACCAAGCTGATAAAACACAGACAACCATTCTACCCCCTAAAAAAAAAACTAGACTCTTGTCGAAAACAAAAAAAGCCAAAAACTGTTGAGACGTAAAGCAATGGAGGGATATCAAAGGCTTTGAGGCTCATCTGGGGAGAACACAACAACCCAGAATGACATCTAAAGCTCTGCAGGCCTCTCTCTCTCTCTCATCAGTTAAGGTCAGCATTCATGATTCAACACTAACAAAGAGGCTGGCCAACAATGGTTTCCAAGGAGAAAATCCAAGAAGGAAACCACTGCTGACGAACAAGAAAACAAAGGTCAGTGCCTAAAACATCTTAATGATCCTAACTTTCATTTTGGGAAGATAATCATTGGAGCTACTGGAAAGAATCAGGGGTTTCTGAACATTTAACAAAACACTAAGAGCCTCTTACTGACAGACAAACATAGTGGTGGCAGTATGGTACTCTGGGGATTCTTTTCTTTCCCCTTTTAGGATGCTGGATAAACATCTTTCACACTATCTTGGAGAAGAATATTCTTAGTTTACCTTAAAGTCAAGCTCATTAAGCCATTTCTCCTATGAAGGCCTATTACACAATATAAAAACATGAAAGAAAGGTTTTGGAGTGGCCTTGTCAAAGCCCAGAACTAAATGTGATTTGGATTCTTACCTTGCCATGGCTGTTTTCTGCTGATCATTTTTTTATGTTATCCCTAATTATTTCAAAAACTATTTTTATATATACATATTTTTTCAGTTTGCCTTTGTCCTATGATGGTGGTCTACCTGGAAGTGTGAGAAAAATAAAAAACAAGCAATATTTAATCTTCAGGTCTCACAATGCTCTTGCAATTTTAATGTTATAAAGGTTGATAAATGTTCACAGTTTTAAGTTTTATTATTGCTAACATTTTTTATTTAAATATAATGGGCAAAATTATATTTCATTGAAAAAAAAGTACAAACCATGTTTTTAACCTTTAGATATGAATGAGAGTCTGAATGAATGAATCTCAGCACCTTTTGTGACCAGAGTTCTGCTTTATTGAACTACAGCAGCGCCCT